ACACCCAGAACCCGACCTCTCACAAGTCAAAACACGTGTGTCGATCGACGCACCAACCAAAAATACACATTTTGGTTCACGGGCATTACACCAACAGTGAGAGTTCCTTCTTCTTTCGAACCCGATTCATACCTTCTACTTAATCAGATCTGAGGTTTTCTCTTCTGCTTTCCTCTTCTGCACTCAATCGATCTCGATTTTATCAATACTGAACCTAAGAGAGGCCAATGAGAGCTAATGCGAAGCTAAGAACACATCAATCTTTGCTTCTTGGATTCCTAGAGTTACTGCTTTATCGCTTTTCGAATCGCCTCTCGAGAGAGCAAGAATGTACAGAAACCGTAGCCATTTCTCCAATTTTTTTCTAACAGAGACATATATTAGAAAAACGTATTCTACCCTTGTATTTTTCTAACATCCAAATAACATTTAGAAGAAAGAAAAAAACGAGTTATATCTCAGAATTTCTAGACAGTCAATTTCGATAAGCGGTGGAGTTGAAAAAGAAGAGAAGAAGACAGTTTCGCAACGCCGCCGAGAGAGATGGGGATAGCGAGTAAAGCTGGAGATTGGTCGTTCAAGGCATTCACGGCGGGGCTAGGGCTCGCCACAATCTACCTCACCGCTACTTTCTCCTTTAATGTCTACCGTGGCCTCTCTTGGCACAACGCTCAATCTGTATGTACTTCTTCCCTCTTCGACTCCTCCCATGTCAATCACGACTCGTTCCTATTGATTAAATCGGACGTTTACACTCGTCATGATCCAATAATGTGTACAAGATTTCTTTATTTAATCGCTTCCAGATTTAGGGCATTTGTTTCTGAGGTTTCTATATTGTGATTTTCATGGAAATTAGACCTAACTAGTCATTGGCTCTATCTAGTCTGATTTACCAAATGGCTATAGATGGAATGGTTCTCTGGGATTTTAGAGGTTACTGGTTCAGATACTCACTTCTATGCAAAGGAGGGAATATAAGTGAGAGCTTATCATTCTAGCATCAAGAATCTTATCCTGGTTTTGGGTTTGTAGGAAAATCAGCGTTCGCTTGTTAGATATGAACGGAACTAGTCCGCGTTTTACTACCCGGTTGTAATGGAAGTGTAAGAGATGTTAAGCTTACACTGCACAGTTGATATATGATTGATTTAGGAGCATGATAAGAACTGAAGCTGTATACTTTTGTTCTTATTCAGTTCAACAAAATAAAAGACACAGCTAAACCCTTGAAAAACTCCACCGACTAAACAATCTGCTTAGACACCTTTATAAGCCTCGTCCTCACTGACTGCTCCCTAACCGACCGCAACATCTGTAATCTGCTAATTCAGTCCTAGGCTAGGTACTGGGCTTATCACAGCAATTGTTTTCATTAGGCTGCCTGCTAAGGTTGCTGCCATGGCTTATATTCATTCACCTTATGCTGGTTCTTAGGTTAGGATATAGTAATGTGACTGATTATCTACATTAGTAACAGAAAGAAAATGCAAGGGTCAATTATTTTATCTCAGGATTCAGAACCATTTTGGAGAAATTCAATGTTACTGTTGCAAATTTTAGGAGATCTCAACTGGTAGATGCGATGTGTTTTAACATCCATGGTTTTGCAGCTTTTGATTTTACTTTTTTTTTTTTCCTCTCTTGAGTCTCTCTTTCAAATTTTATTTATATAGTTTACTTACTGTATGACATTGTGTTGTCCTTATGGACTATAATATTCACATCCCTATTAAGTTAAATCCATTTTTTGTGTCTAACTGAGAATTCCTGTCTCTTTACCTTGCAGAAGCTGGAGCTAGAGCAATCTGAAGAACACACCGAATGATCCGAATTCAGCAGATCCTTGCTGGAATCTTTGCGTGTTTATTACTTTTCATACACTTGGTGTATCTTTGTTTCGATTCTAGGAGCAATTAAATAAATGAGAAGTTTTTGTCTAATACATTTACTAAATTTGTAATGAAAGTTCCATAATAGCAAAGGAACCAACTTTTCCAACATTGAATCTGTGAATCAACGTTCGATCATTTTCATTTTCTATCAACGGTTGTTACACAGATTTCAAATGCTCACATCCTCTTTTGTTACTAGTGAAGAAGATATGGTCATGTTTAGAAACTTTGAATCAAACAATAACATAAGAGTAAAAGTTGAGACAAACCCTTTGATCAATCTTGTAATACTCTTAATGCGTGATACATTCAAGTTTGTATGGGTCTGTCAGGTTTCTCAAATCACATTTGCATGATTCCATATATAATGATATGAGTTTCTTGAAAACGTTTTGCCAAAAGGCATACCAAATCTTTTTTGTTTCTTCACTTATTCAGACCTTTGAGCAATAAGCAACACGAGTAACCCAACACAGACTGTTAGAAAAGGAAGATGAAGGATAGAAGTGTAATTAGACTCATGTGCTTCCTCCTGCAGTCTGAGCTTCCTTCTTCATATCACTGCTCTCGCATAGATCTCATAGCAGCAGCCTAGAAAAAGTACACATGAGAAGGCTATTCAACTCAAACACAGAATAATACTATGCAATCAAAACTATATGAGCCACACACAACTACCTGCCAATTACATTATCATAAGCTCAATTTCCATCCTCTGTTAATATGAAAATATGATCAGATAATGAGGAACAAATGAGGTAAAGCACAAGAACATGTTCAGCAAACCAAAGATATTTCCATCTGCAGCTTTTTCTTGATCGAAAGAAAGTGAAGATCACAAAAAAGCTCTAGTTAATCTCTTAGAAAAATGTATCAGGATATTCAGATTCATCCTAAATGATTTCTACATCCACTAGAAGAATAATTGATCATCTAACGAAAATGAACTTACAAACTATTTCTTTACTTACCGGCAACAAGGACAAGAGTGAGCACATCTCCAATCTTTTTCAATCGGTGCACTCCTTTCTTATGCGACTTGAATCTTCTCAAAGCACCATCGTCAGCCAAGAGCTGCAACAACGCAACCATGGAAAACAAAACTCAAGAGAAATCTCATAAAAATAAAAAAACTATCAAAAAGCAAATCTTACACGAACCCTCTCTTGCTTTTAGATTCAGGCTTGTAAACCAAGACTTTCTGAACAATTACACTACCTCCAATCCAATTACTATACAAATCAAATTCAAAATGTATCATATCTCCTTTTTCTGAACAATCTAATCTAACCGAACCGAATCCACGATCCCTACCCGAGAACAGAGATGAATGTAAAAGATACTTACAGCTTTCTCTCGAGCTCCAAGCTCCATATGGAACCCGCGACGGGATTGAGCAAAGGCACCATCCGTCTTCTGCAAAGGAGTCGAATCTTTTCAATTGAATGCAAAAAAAAACCTGCGAAGAAGAAGATCGTAGGTGAGATTAAATTGAGGTGTTGTTGAGCGAAAACGCCATTTCCGATGAAGAGCAAAGATTTCACAAGTAAGACGATGCCAAAACAGTAATGATCCGATTGGGATCAAAACCTTATATAACGCTCAAAGGGAAACCGAATTAACAAATAAATCGAAAATAATAAAGATTTATTATCTTCTTTTTTTTAATTCGAAATTGGCGGAAAAAACAAAAAAACCAGAAAAGTTGTTTTTAATTACCGACCCAATCTATTATTGATCCGACCCATGCGGATTATCCAACCCATCCCGTGTAAATCGGATTTAAACCAATTCTCGCAACCACGACGGGAGCAGAGGAAGAGGAAGCCGAGAAATTTTCGGATCAAAGGCATTCTTTGATTGGATTTAAATCGGAGCCAGAGGCAGAGGAAGCCGAGAAATTTTCGAAGGCAGAGGCAGAAGGTGAGAAAGGGGAGGAGAGTGAAGTGGAGAAGGAGCTAGAGGCAGTAGAACAGAATGAAGTTGTTGGTGAGAAGAGGATTAAGAAGCCAGCATCAAAATTAAGGACTCCCTACATGGCCCCGAACTCAGCAAGAAGAACTGAAAGAACTAATACTCATCCTCTTGTCTTGAACTCTATCTATTATATTTTGGTTTTTTATGCAAAACTGGATTTAGTGTTTCGTAGTACTAGTACTTTTAANGTAAAACTGTGAACNTATCTTTGTTTCCAAAGTGGATTTAGTGTTTGTACTACTGGTACTTTTAGGTAAAACTGTGAACATGTGTTTGTACTATTGGTACTTTTAGGTAAAACTGGTTTAGTTCAATAATTCAATAATTGGAGACCAGACTAATTTGTACAATTCAATAAAACAAGTGCTAGTTTAACAAAACAATCCAACAAAAACAAGTGCTAGTTTA